AGAGTTGAAGCAAAGAGGTGGTCTGTTTGTAAGAGCTCCATCAACAGGCATGCTTTATTTATTTCAGCTGCTGCAATGACTACACGTATGCAGGATCTATACAAAACAACAAATGGCTCGTGCATACTCCTCTGCATTTATTTTCTCACCTTTCCTCACTTTTGCTTGTTGTTTGGTCTTAACACTGGATCCTCTCAGGATATCCAGGTATCTTCTTTGAATGAATTTCTCTCTCACCCTCTTTCCAATCACCCGTGCACCAAATTTTCTTCTTCTGTTGGTCTTATCGTTAACTGAGAGCCCCGAGTGCTATGAAACCACATCCTTCTGTTCCTTTCCTGCTCAAACTTTCTTTTTGCAGTCTACTGCTTTCACAAGTTGTGTCTTTGTTCTCCTGCTTTGGGATTTTCCACTCTTCAAATGGCCTACCCATTGCAAAGAAAATGGAGAAAACAGTCTCCTTTGACAGTCTGGACCTGACTTAATGACCTTCTGTTGTCCTTGGTCTGAAAGATGACATAGCCCCAGCTTCACATACATGAGGTATTTGGTGGTATAGTGATTGCATAAGATCAATCAGGATTCCTGTGATGTGTTTAGACAGGTTCCCCAATTGCCACACAAATATTTTGAAAGTAACCTACTCTTGTGTCAGAAGTGATATGTCTAAGGCCTCACTGTAGGAAGTGACAGGACTCTATTGTTCAGCATAACTGAATTTGGGCTTGTTTCGCACCGTGCTGACAGACTGGCAGGCTCAGCCAGGACCACACGTCTGCGGCACCAAGAGGTACACCTTTAACCTCCTGCTGCAACAGCAAGCTCTAATTTGGTCTTCCTGTAAGATGCTAAGTAATGTATCCAGCACTGGAGTTTTGCTAGAGCAAAACTGATGTATTGCTGTTCTAGAGCTGATAAACAAATGGTATCAGACAGAGATGAGTAACAAGAGGGAAATTTTTGCACATAGTTTCTCACCACCATTCAGAAGATTTACTTACAGAGCGAGGGCACTGCAACAGGCACTAATGTACAGGGGAACGTGCTGCAGAACACATACCTTGTGTCGCTGCCACCTGTCTAAAATATCTGGGCTAGCAACACCTGAACTGCAAGTTTAGGTGTATAGCTGAGAGAGCAGAGAGCCCAGAGAGAGCTCCAAGTTTGGCCAGGTTTAGCCTATCCTACAGTAGACATGGAGGTGCCTGAAGACTTCTCAAAAAATCATTCTGACAGCTCCTTGACCTGAAGAGCCTTCAACCATGACAAGAACAGAGGAAAAGAGGCTGTGGCATACGGACACACTGTTAGTGTGTCTTACGTCTAGAGATAAAAGGAAGAAAGCAAAACCATAATAAAATTCACATCATTCAGCACGGCTTCACAGAATAACCTCATTATTTAATGGACTTGGAGATTCTCGCTCTTTCCCAGCTACCAATTTTATTGACTCCATCTTGTTTGCCTGTGCCATTCACTCACCATCCCACAATCTGCAGGCGGTGGTGGGATCTATACAGCTCCACTTGCTCTAATTCTCTGTTGGCTCTAGGTTTCGGTCTTGTATGTTTCTGCCTGAACAGCATCCACACAAGCAAGGCAACCAAAACAAGCGAGAACTTGTTGAGTAAAGACATTTGAGGCAAATTATGTCTGTTGCAATACTGAGGTGACAGCCACAGCAAACTAGGCATAACAACGTCCCTTGTAAAACAGGGAGCTCAGCAACAGGCTAATCTCAGACGAACGCTGCTGATATGCACCGGTGGAGGGCCTTATTTCTCCTCCCAGCCAAATCTGAGTTCCTTTATTTTTTTCCATTGCAAATATAAAAAGAGCTTAGAATCAGTGGAGCAATAGGTGAGAACAAATCATTATAACTGATGAAGACCACTTTTATTGTGAGGCTTCTAGCTACTTTTTTTAGGATTTCTTCTGCTTCTTTTCCTTTCTTCCTTCCTTTTTTTCTTCCTTTCTTTCTACCTAGTCACTTGCTTCTTCAAAGTTCACAATGTGGTTCAGCCCTGAGTTCTCTGCCAGATGCCAATTTTCAAAGTACCTATCTATGCACACCAAGCGTTATAAGTAACATTTCCACATTTAAGCCAACTGGATCCTGAGCTAACCTGGTTTACAGCCATCTGGAATTCTTCAGAAAAAATGACTTGTAAGCACTGTAAACAGTTCTGTCTTCCCAGAGGACACCAAGAGTTTCCAAATTCATTGCCATCTTCATTTTGCGATCTGGGTTCAAGAGCAAGGTATAGATTTAAAGAAGACTATAATGCAAATAGTATTAATAAAAGAAACCTCAGTGTGATCTGCTTTTCCCTAATAAGGCAGGCTCTATCAGTGTCCCAAAGGCAGCAAGGTGCCAATACAATTAATCAGTCTGTTTTTAGTTCTCCCTAGACAGCAATATTAACAGTTTGTTTCAGTCTGTTTATATGGGTCTGACAGGTCTTCAAGATGCTATGTTCACTTTCCTGTGATTAATAGTCATTCACATACTAAGGTGAAGACCAAGCAGAAAAAGAATGTTTTTAGAGCAGGACAGATAACTGGATTCTCTCCCCCAGCCTTTCATTTCTAACTACGAAACAGTACTAAATTTAGGAATGCTGTCTCACTGTATTGTTTAAACTCCTCCTTTACTTGCAACTTGCCCATGTGATGAGCCAAAGGGAAATTTAAATCACATATTTTCTTCGCTTACTTTTCAGCTGTGCTCTATAAAGCCATCACATTGATAGTGAATGTCTGCACACTGTGATACTACATGCAGAAAGCAAAGCCATTGGGACCAGTTTTGAGCAAGGAATAACTCCTTCTGGGAAAAGAACTTTCCTTCTTTTCCATCTCTGCAAACCTCTCAGGGGAGATCTGAGGGACCAACTGAGCACCAAACCCACCCCAGCAGAGACTTCAGAGACCAAGAAGGAGATGGACTACATTCCTTCAGTGGCTTTCACAGGACTTGTTAAAAGTCCTACAAAACTGAAGATGCTTCCCCAATACAAAAGCAAACCCTTCTTGGGCCGGGGTCCTCCTCTCCACCACAGAGAGCTTTAATTGGAGACAGTGTGAAGGAACCCTTAGACAAGAAAAGGGAGCATTTGGAGTATTTCCCAGTTTCCCCTTCAGCCATTCTGGGTGTTTCATTTTGATACAAGGAGTTTTTTCCCTCTTCTCCCCGCCCCAAGAAAAGACCATGCACACATTTCTGTGCTAATTTTTGTCCATTCTCTCTTCTCGCCATTTCCTCAGTACTTGTCATCTCTCCTTTTTGGAGGAGGTTTTTGGGCTCCCTCTTTGTCCTGGTTTCTTCATTAACTCTTAATTTCCTGAGATCCCTCCCCTCTTTGAATCTCCTCCTTCTCCTGGCTTTCCCTCATCCCTTTGTCTCTAGTCTATTGATTTCTCTGCTTAGGCCTCCTTTGATCTCTCTTCTTTCACTCTCTTACCCAAGTCCATTCAGTCCCATGCCTCCTCCTGTCTATTTTAATCAGGGCATTCTTTTCTTCAGCATTAATCAGAAAGCATAATTTCTTTTCTGCCACTTTTTCTGAACGGTAGCCTTCACAAACCTTATTGTCCTTTTAGTTTTATTGCAGTTGAAGAGGATGGCATAGGAAAGTTGTTACAGCTGAATAGCAAAACAGCTCTGCAAGATAATACCATCCCCTAGAAAAAAAGAAAAATAATCCTAATTTTTAAAATGCTGTAAGCTGCCCTATCAAATAATAGGAATTGAGCAGTAAGACAAACACATATTAACACACAGTGGGTCTGACACAAGAACTCAGAAGTGCTCTCCAGAAACCTGTTGCTATATCCTTCTCTTAGTTGTTCTCAGTAGTTCATCAAAACAATGACATAGGTTATGTACTGAAGAGCAGACCGCCTCACTCCATACCTGGGATAAAGACATTAGTGCAGCCTCCTCTCCCTCCCAGAGAATTCAGGTCCCCCATCCCTAAAACACCATGCTCAAAATACAGTCACTGGTGTCATCTGCCTTCTTGCCCTTTGGCAGCTCATCATTTCAAAGCAGTGGCTTTCCTATTTGCGGTCTTGTCTTACTTAGAAACTTGGGGTATACAAATGCTTACAGATGCACTTAACCACCAGTCAGCTGCATGTGCCTGGAGCCACTCACCTCACAGTACGGCATGGGCAGAGACATCTCCCCATCTCTTTCAGAGATCCATGACAAAAGTAACTTGGCTTTTTTAAGGTCACAACTGTGGCTTGATGGTTTTAAGAAGATTGTTCATTTTTAGCTTGTTAGAAAAATGCAGCAGCGGCTGAACGGACTAAGATACAGCACTTCTAAAATTAAGTTCTCTTTTCATAAAACTACTGTTTCCACCACAGAAAACTCAGTATGAAACACATACTGCTGTGCTGCGACCATGTGTTTTCCAATAAACAAAACACTCAGCACAGCCATGTCATGGATGGAAAAGATAGTGGCTGAGCTGCTCTGGTGTCACATAAATCATACGGTGGATCACATGCCAGGGTACTACATCTGGCCTCTGCCTTTGTGCGAGATCATATCACAGAAGAAGGCAGAAGCGCTGGACAGGTGGTTGCCTCTGGCCTCTCTCATGCTTTGCCATACTGTGAGGTGTTTCAAAGGTCCCAGCAGAGGCTACCACACTGCAATGCCATGGCAGGGAGCACGAGGTATCACACCTGACTGAAAATACTCACACACAGCCAGGAAGCCTAAGGAAGAGTAAAAGATGCTCACCACAATGTGTGACCCCCTGGGCTAACAGTTGTCAAGAACAACTTCAGATATTCAGACCCTATAAAACCATTTTCTTTGGCAGTAGATAACCCAGCTGCCCAGGGAAGTCAGACACAAGCACAACATCTTTCTAAACGGGTAACACCTTCAGAACTAGATTGTGAGGGAAAAAATAAAAAGGAGAAAGGCAACATGACAAGGAAACTACATCCTTGTGCTGTATGTTGTCTGTGGTTCTTACCTTCTACGCAGATCTTCAGCCACTGCTGCTCTGCAACTGAACAAATAGGCTCGGAGAGATTTTAGCTGCTGTCTCAGGCGGACAACAGTTGCCAGAGGTTCAACATGCTTGTACAACATGGGATTTTCCTGCTGGATATCAATCAATGGCTCCTCATAAACATATTCCAGGAACTCTTTGGCTTGCTTTGATACCTGAAAAATAAACCAACCAGTTTAGCTAGGCTTTCCTCCCAACTCTTTTTAAGCAGATCCTCCCCTCTGTGATCTGTCAGCTATCCTCTGCATCTGAAAACTTACTCTGTTACCAATTACAGATGAAGACAGAGCTGAGAAAGATCCAACTGTCTCCGCTTATAGCCAAGTCAAACTTCATCAAGCCCATCAAAGTCGAGTGTATGAGATAATTGCTTATTTACCCAAAATACAGCGATATTTGCAGCCACACATGTTTTCACTGCAGGGTAACATAGCTTACTAGATGCTTTTCCAGTCTAAAAACTCATTACTAAGTTTCTTCCCTGTTAATATTTTTCTGTTTGTTCACTGTTTTCTTTTTGGCAAGAAGCAAGTGATTAGGTAAGTGCCAAAGCACAACGTTAGAAAAGGAGACATACACACTGCAAATCCAATCACATTGTACTATCCCAGGGTATGGAACTCCAGGGTAAAGTACTACTCCCATTTGTTTCATGCTCAACCAGTATGGTTAAAATTATGTAAAAAGAAAATAATCAGAAGCACATCTATCAAGTTGTGTTTTTTTAAATACAGATAAATAAAGTTGAATTTTACTGGTATTACTCACTCCCAATGTTTCACCTGCAAGAAGTTTTTCTTATGCCTTTTTCACGACAGTGCTCTGTTCTATCTCCACCTGCAAAGAGCTACTGTAATCTTGATAAATAAATGGGACTTTTGTTCCCACTAGAAAAGATACTCCTGTTTCTGAGGTGAGAAGGCCAAATTCCCTCTCATTCCTTATTTCTGCATTTTATCGCAGCTGGAAAAAAGAAGATGGGATTATCTGAAATGAGCTGCAAATCACTTGAAACTGTGCTATAGAAATACTATTCGCTCCACAATTCAATCAGTCCTCCTGGACCTTTAAATCAGTGTTTACACTGAGTGAAGTCAGGGATGAATTAGGCTAACAAAAGGAGAAAGGGCACACCACAGCCTCTTGAGATTCAGGATGTTATTTCCCTTCTGGTGCTGTAAGGCAGGAAGTAGGTAAAAGCAATATACATCCTTATAAGTAGCACCACTTCCAAAACCAGCGCAAGTTACTAGCTACACAGATAATACAATGTGTAATTTTAAATACAGCAGACCATAACTCCACAGGTTTCCCAGGCCCTGAAGCTGTATTAAATATTAAATATCTCACCTATTTGTACTAAACAACCCACTTTTTTCTCTTTTTTTTTTTTTTTTTTTTTTAAATAATGCACGTATAAGGAATTGTGCTGTCTGGAAGCACAGGTAACATGCTGTGTAAGGAGCAGCACAGGCAACTTGGATTTTGTAGAACAAAACTCTACAAACCCCAAATATGTCAAGTTTTCTAACACTAGCAATGTTGATGTTTTATTAGTCATGCTAACTGCAGTGCATAAAAGAGACTGCAGTTAAACAACCTGCTTTTACAATCATTAAACTATTTGGCTGTAAGATCTCCGCAATCCCCTGACAACTGCTGTATCTATAGTAAATATTATTCCTCTTCCACCGATGGGCAAATTAAGTCACATATTCAGTGATTCCCTAGGAGGCACATGAATGCTTGGTACAGCGACTAGCACCTCCCACCAGGACGACCTGGTGCCCAGCGTTCTTTGTAGCCTTTCTTCCTTGCTTTAAACCCCTGCTGAAGCGATGGGCTCCTCATCCACCTGCCCTGCTGTCTCGGGAACCAGAGGGCAATTACTGGCTAAGTATTACACCCATGCCTGTGCACACTTGTACCCTGTATGGGCAAAGGAGTATAGAAACAAAAAAAATGCCAGAACGGAGGTCACCTGAGTGACTCTGCAATACACGTGCACTATGATGACAAAGTATTACTGTGCGGCTCTGGTGCCGCATGGTCTCAATGCAGCCCTTGAGGAAAGGGCAGCAAAGCAAAGCAAACCCTTCTCTCTCCTTGCCAATACAATGTACCTGCAGAGTGCTGACTGCAGGAAAAGTAGCTTTGCCCAGCATCACTGGCTGACAGGTAGATGTCGGTTCACCTGACACAGGCACACAGGTCATTTAAAACATTAACTCGTATTGCCAACCATAGCAAAATTACAAGAAGCTGAAATGCAGTCTTATAATGGGAAGGGTCAGGCAGTCATAATAATTCAGCTTGCTACCAGCCAATATTCTAGTACATGTACTAGCATACTCACAGTCCCCCAGTTTTACTGGGCAGACTAGACAATCCTATTAAATAAGCCAGACGGAGTGAGAAGACGCAACGTGCAACAGGGTTTTAGCTTTAAATGTCACACAAGGATGGATGCTAACATTTCCAGACCTTTTATTTCTAGAGGCTGCAAACTGACAGTTCAGAATTCAATTTACCAGAAGTCAGCCTCCCTTGAAGCCTTCTGGCACAGGGAGTTCATTTCCTGCTGTGTTTGTCTGGCATTTTGTGCAGGCTGGAAGCCACCTGAACCAAACTGCAATACTTACTGGTTTTTGCGTGCAAACAGTGAAAACAGTTGCCCTAAGTAAAAGGAAGAAAGGATGTTCACAAGATTGCCTCTTCTCTTTTCTCTTCACACAAACACGTGAAAAACACAAATACGAAAATAGTAGGGAGATAGGGGGAAAAAAGTGAACCTGGGGACTGAACTGCTGCTTTGGTTATGACAGAAGAAACATGCCTAACTGGCAGGTCCTTTCAAAGAGCTTTTACTGCAGTCGAAACGACGTTTCTTTTCCTACCCACATGCTTTCAGGTGTTAAGTGCATTGTTGCCTTTCAAGATCCTGGGTATGGGAAGACACAACTCTACAGATTTCTACCGCTTCTGTTTTTTCACAATCTGTCTTGCCAAAAGCAGACAAGAACCTCTCCATTTGCAAAACTTACCTAACTGATGCAACAGTTCACGTTACAGCTGCTGCTCAGATGTCTAGGAGTCCATGAAACACAAAAGAGAAACATGCCCAACTACACTGTATCGTCATAAAAGCTCATGTCCTAGAGTAGCTATTGGTGCTTGCTTTGCCAGAGACAGGTAGGACAGACCCCAGAAACCCCTGCAGAGGCGGGGAAAAGGTGGCAGTGGGAAGGAGTGCAGGTTTTCAAACTCTTTGTTCACTTTCCTTCCATTTGGTAGACCGACAGGCACATTTCAGGCTGTGTGAAACACAGAAGCTTTTGAAGACTGAAGCCCTGTTTCAGTTCTGACCATCAAACATGCTATGGGCTTATTTCCTGCAGTACCGCCCTGGGGTATGCGATAAGTCCAGCCAGGAGCAAACCACCCGCCGCAGAAGCTCCACTTTCAGGCATCGCTGCGCTACCCGTGAGGGGCAGGGCTGTGCTTTTAGGAGAAGCTCGTTGTTTAGCTTCGTTGTGCGATGTTGCTGCACAGCTTTGCGTGGGCACACTGGCCAATTATGGGAGGTGAAATGCCGACAAATTAAGTGATCTCCCTTTAAGAATGAGCCCAAAGAAAATTATTACCAAGATGAACTCAAGGAGGTGGGACAAGATATCTGTCTTTGCCAAATCAGCACATTTAATCAATACACCACTAAGGAATCGTGCAGTTTCATTACAACTATTAAGTGCAGCAGCTAGCGCTAAGTTGCCTCTTAGACCATACAGAAGAAATAAACATCAGACCTAATCTCTGAATGGAGAAAGGAGATGTGGATGTAAAAGTGCAGGCAATATGTGCTCTACCTCAGAAAAGTACCTCAGAAAAGTTCCCATGGAGGTATAGCAGGAATAGAAACAAAAGCACATGTATGCAGAATTGAACAGAAAGGGGAAAACCCCAAAGATTTCACAAAAGTAACACGAACTACTTGTTATTTTAATTCTATACACGGATGGGACAGAGTTGGGGAGATCCAACCAGTGATCTCAGCTCAGCTGTCACACTGCTGCTGTGGCACACGATGTCCTCTTCACCTTCCCTCCCTGCCTTAGACTCTGCTCTAATAGTTGGGGATGCTGTAGTGTTTTCCTACCCAAGGGATGGTGTTCCTTTCTTAAATCCGAGCACTTTGGCACAGAGACTGGTAAAAGTATCTGCATGGAATTTGCTTGTGCTCCCAAGCCCCCTCACAGCTGTTCTGCCTGCCTACAAAAAGTGTGAATTGATAACTTCTCACTGTTACAGTGCGATTACAGTAGATTAAGTTTTCAATGAATGCTTAAGCTTAAAAGTCTCACTTCCTTTTGTGCCTCGGCTGCCTATACCAAGGCCACAGGAAACAGAGCATAGTCTTTACCCTGCAGGTTTAGAAAACAAAACAGTTTATTTTTTCGGCAGTATTCCTGACAGCTTCATATGAGGTCTTTGCCTTACCATCCACTTGCCCCATATCAGGGCTACCTATACTACCATGGGCTAGCAAGTTTAGTCTTTGGTAAAAGCATCCAGAGAAAGAATTCTTAAATATTTATTCCTAGCTTCTAGGAAAGGGAGGTGTTTTTGTCTCCACACGTAGGGGCTTTGTAACTCTGAAGAATCTTGCATTTCACAGCACAAGACTATCATTTTCCTGATAGCAGGCTCTGGCTACCTTTTAATAATCTCTCCGTCTGACAAATTTTCTTCTTCAAGAGAGCTGCTTTTCCTCTAATGGGGCATTTACTGTTATTTTTTTCCTTTTCAAATAGCCCGTAATAATAATATTCGCAGACACAAAACATCAAACAGCCTCTCCTAACAGTGGCTGCTAGGTCTGAAGCTCTAGCATGGTCTGGATTCCTTATGAGTTTGTTACTGTTCTAGCATATGCTCCCCGAGATGGCAAAACAACACTGCTACCGTGTTTGCTGGCATAATGCTTTGAGGCATGTGATCCGTTGCCCCTATCTAGCAACCAGCCACCAAGACAGCAGCAAACAGCAGATTACTTAAGCTTTAGAAAAGCTGCTTGTGTGGCAACTGAACAACTGGAGAATTTTCTCTTTATGTTACTTTTGGCTGTCTGGTCCAAACAAGTGCTAAAACAATGTCCTTCTAGTGTCCTTGAAGCGTTTGTGCCAAGAGACAGGACATACTGGGCCTTGCAAACACCACGCTTGGGTGTGCCAGTTTCCTGTGGCCATTTCCACAATTCAGCATCCGTCACCAAGCAGTGCCAATCGATAGTCCCTAGTGCTCATGAAACACGTACTCCTCAAGGGCCCAATAACTGCAAAGATTAGGGCTAGAAGAGAGGTTTCAGTGTTCCGTCCCTCCCTGTCTCTTGAACAACCAGATACGCAATGATGGAAAAGATACCACTAAGAAAGAGCAGCATGGCTGCTCCAGTAGCAGAATGCCTTAGGCCTGGCTAAAGAGATGTTGATGAAAGCATCTGTCTTGTTGAGAGAGCGTGGCTCGTTCTGGCAAGAGGGACAAAGACGATAGTATTAGCAGTCAATGCCTGTAACCTTCAACCTGTTGCAATATCTGTGTTTCTATCTAAAGAGCAATTCAGTTCACTTGCTAGCAAGCCAGCCTGCAGCGAGATTACCTTGTATTTGGAAGTGTCCCAGTTATGAACCAGCCGTGCGGGGATGAGGAAGCTGTCATCCACGTGGCAGGTGCTGCAGTAATACCATCCACTGTAGCTGCACACCTTGGCTTTCCCATTGGACAAGCCTATGGAGCGCTGACAGCCTGGAGAAGAGAGAGGGGAAAAGTCTGGGTTTGTACACCATACCAGAGGTACACATTCAGGATGCAGTAAGAAAAGTAATTATTCCCCTGAGACCATTTTTACATTTTATTTATTTATTTTACCAATGAGCCATTTCTCATTCCCTAAAAATAGAGGAATAAGTACCAGTATTCTGGGACTAGCACTGAACAAGCATACACTAACTTGGGCATCTATGACAAAGAGTTCAGAAGGCAGTCAAAGGATACTTAGCACTTCTCAAGAAACAAAGGCAGAAGACCGACTCTGAGACACTGGGCATTTAAAAGCCACGGCCATCTGAAAAACATGACGTTCAGGCCTAGACAGAAACCACCAGACCACAGAAGTACTGAGCGCTCGCTCCAGACAGCTCCCATTTTCCCCACAACAGAATGGGCCAGCACTGGCTGCCTGGAGGAGCTCAAGCCAGCTCCTGCTGACAGCCAGAAGGGATGCTGACTTGGTAGGCAGGATTCGGCCACAGAATTAGCCCAGCCAAGGCAAACCAGAGTCAGAACATGAATAATAACTGTGAGCAGCAGTCACATTGCGAATGAGTAGTCCTTGACTAGCAGTGGTGACACAGCTCAGCTTCCTGCACGTTTTTTTTTCCTTTACGATTGGATTACCCTGTGTCTTACAAGGTCTGAGGTCTGCCTGACTTTTTTCACAGCTGGATCACTTGCTGCTTCCCATGCCCTCTTGTGTGGAGTCCCTGGGGTAAATGTAGTCAAAAGCTGCTGCTTTAGTTGGAGAGACCTAATGCAGAGCTCTCCTTCACCTGACCACCTGTTTTCACAAAACACATAGAAACTCCGTGTATTTGACACCTCTGTCTTTCCCTTAACTGTAGCTAAAACGAGCCAACAGGTCCAAATAATGTTAGAGTGGCGGGCTCAAGACAGACAGCACAGTCACATTAAACAATCTGCTCAGGAAGCAAGGCTAAAAATGTTTGGATAAGATATAATGAGATGTCTGTGGTTGTTATTAACACCTCTTTGACACAGCACACACGACAGTATTTCTGCTTTTCCTTCAAATGCTAGTGTCCCCGTATGACATTTACAGCTACAGACACAATTAGCACCAGAGCCACACTCCGGCGTGTCCTGTATGCTCAGACGGTCTCTGCTGGAGCTGGTTAGTAATGATGAGTAGCAGAATCCTTGTACTTCACTTTTACAGCAAAAGTATTGGCTAAACAGAGTTTTTCAGGCGGAAGTCAACTGACTGACTGCTTTTGTCAGTATAACTGATTTGGTTTAGTGTAATTATGTAACTTCTCCCACTGAAGGCATCTTTTTTCCCCAGTAGAAGTTACCCTGATTTGAGGAAAGATTGCAGCTCAAATACTCTAGGCATAATCGAACTCCCCCTTCACCCTATTAGCTGATGCTACCATGTCCCCTCTGCTCTAATCAAAATAATTAGAATAAACTGACCAACCCAATTCGCTCACTTCCTCCTCTTCCACACTCCAGAGCCATGTGGCCATTGATTCTCTGCAATGCACACAATGCACACAGTGAATCAGTGTGGGACCTGTCCTGTCTCCATCTCTCTCTCCCCCTTCCCTTTTTTTTGAAGGGAGAATATGCAGTTTCTTGAAAAAGGCAAATATATGAACAGGTTGTTGATGAAAGAGATACTTATGTTAATATCTCCTCTTTTACTATTCATAAGATCAGAGCATAAGTATAAACATATATCTCAAGTGGTATAACTCAATACACGTAACGCAAAAATGTGATCTCATCTTAGCTAATAATCAAACAGAAAACCCAAACATTATGACTGCAAACTATCATCATTGTAGAAATAATATTTTTAGGGCAGAAAGAATGGAGGTATGCCTTTTATAAGGATAAAGTCAATCCAAGTAATTCAGCAATGTGTTACAAAAAAAGATGACCTATGACTGTGGCTTGGGATCAGAACTTAGGAGCCAACAACTTCTTATTTCCCTCAATGCAAAGCACACATTTTCCCCATCTTTCCTTTCCTGTTCTTTTCTTTTTTTAAAAAAGCAGTTTCCTGACTAGTCAGTTAAAAGAGTTTCCACGCAGTTCTGCTCCACTATGCTGTTACGGATTAAGTCAGCAGGCATGCCTGGTAGTAAGCTCAGTATCAGTGCTCTGTAGTACATACAGAATTATTCTTCCAATTTTTAAAATGAATTCATACATAAAGGTGAAGGTTTTGAGCAGCTGACAAGACATGAAATACCAGTCCTGTTTGTCTGACATGACATTCATCTGACTAGGAGCCCTGGAAGATGCTTGCAGAAGGTATTCACACTGTTGCTATGGAGCCCATGTTTTTAAAAGCACAACAGAAGTAAATCTTGCTCCTCTGTAAAGGAAACAGAGAAGTACGCCCCCTCCTCTCCTCACGGAGCAAGATGAAGGAATCTACGAAAGAGAACATTCCCCTTTCCCAAGCTCAATGGGAACAAGCCCTCAGAGAGGATGTTTGTGTTAGCAATACCTCAGCACGTTCTTCCAGGCCAGCCTTGCTAAAAGAAGTGAAGGGTCTGAATCTTTACCCTCACTGGTTGCCTCTGAATTTCCTATCACTGAAAAGCACTGAAGCATCTGTCTTCATACCTCAAGCGGCTCCAACTTCAGCATTCATTACATACAGCCATCACCTCACGTTGGATGAAACAGAGAGTGCTAAATGACATGTAGTATTTTCTAGTTCAATGTGTCTGGACCAGCTGATGAAGTATTAGCGGTAAAGCCGTGTGTGAATGACACTGAAGTCTCCTAACTCAATGCCATTGAAACCTTATTCGTCTGGGGGATAAGGATGGGATGGGACAGGACACACTGATTCCATCTAACTGCCACTGTGCCCTCCCTGCCACTCCGCCGGCTGCTAGTTTCTCTTAGTGCCCTAGCTCCTATCCGTTAGACTGAAGGCAAGAATAAGCTAAACTCCAATTTGAATTGCCATCATCCTAAACTAAAACGTTTCTAGTTGAGAAGTCACCATTTTAAGGTCTTATTTATTGCAACCGCCTAGAGCCAGAAACTCATTCCAGTCCATGAGAGAGTTTCCTCAGGAGAGGAATGACAAAGCACAGAAGTGCTGGGGGGGTTTCCCGCCTCCTCCCTATGTCCAGCCCATAAGAACTGGAGGCCTCCGGGGTGACGAGGGTCTCAGCAAGCAATCTTGGATGCCCTTCCCTTCAGGAAGAGTGGTTTTATAAAGAGGAGAAAGTGGAAGAAGCTGCTACCCAAGCTGCTGCTTTATTCCAGCCCTTCTCTGAGCCCACGTTTGTTTCCTTGTTCCTCAGAAACACATTTTTACACAGAGTATTTCTCACTCCTCTTCATATCCTCAGGCAAATTATATCCTGCAAAGCTACATAACAGTTGTAAGATTGGGGTATTTTAGATGAAAATGTGGCACTGGCACCTACCTTACATTTTCCCTTACCTTACAAGCTTTGCTGTTTGAAAATCACCATCCCCTCCATTCCTATCTGTTGTGATTCATAATGATGGCTATTTCTACAATCCTTTCAAATCAAGTTATCAAAGCACTGATTTTCTTTGATGTTATGCAGTTCAAAGTGATGTAGTATGACAAACATATTTCTGTGGCATAGACCACTTATGCTACTTTGGTTTTTTAAGATGGAAAAAAGTAGAGCAAGAGAGAGAGAGAGAGAGAATGAAGAGGAGGAAAGAATAGCTTGTGGCTTAATGCCCTTGGAAATCCTGCACCTGGACATTCAGGCACATAAACTTGCCATCATGTTTACCAGAAGCAAAGATAGTACTGATTCCTGGCTTTAAACTCTTGAGCACCCCAGCTACATCTTGAGGTCATGTAGCATGTCAGATGTAGCTGACCCCCTCAGAGATCGATAACACAAGTCAACAAATAGTTTGGGGTGGGCGAAGGGACCATTTCAGGTTTGCAGAGAAAACACTTACTCGCCTATAGCTAGAGAAAGCACCTTCCACAGGATGGGGGAAAAAAGCAGCATAACTTTCACCAAGCCTCTCTCACCTATTCCTAATGCTCACACAGAATATTATCCATATAACATCTGTACAAAGGTCTGGCAAACCCTGAGCCTAGAGCAAGGAGAATACTGCAATATTTACTATCACCCCAAACCATCCCTACCTAAATGATTTTATAGAGCAAGCTACAGAGGGAAGAAGTGTAGCTGTAGGTATACTGTTAGCAAAGTGAGGGAAGGAATAATCCCAAACCTTTCATCACAGAAAATATAACAAAACAGCCTTGGAATCAAGCAAAGAAAAGAGGGGTTAGAAAAAATAGCAGCAAGAAAGTGCTGCTGGGCACAGATGAACCTCCCTCAACAACATGTCTGTGAAAAGAAAGTGCTGCTGGGCACAGATGAACCTTTCTCAACAACATGTCTGTGAGCAGAGCAGGAGTATCAACATCAAGAGGCTCATCTCCAAGTGCTAAGACTTCAGGAGGAAAATAGTACATGAAGATGAGGTTAAAAAGTTATAACAAGTCTCTCTCCTTGACTTAAGGTGGTGGTGAAGACATATGGAGGAAGAATCCAAGACACTTGAATATAATTCCTCTTCTGCAAAGCATGGAAAACACCACTTCTGCCACTTTCAGGGTATGGCATACTCTTACGGTCAAGGAAGATGCACACAACTATTCTTTTTATCCAGAAACCTTTTTCTTTAATCTTTCAGCAAGAAAAGATTGGAGGAGCTCCACAGCGAAACAGAAAAAGTGGAAGACCAAACTAGAATTAAGTACACAACTGTTTTCCTTATTCAATCAAGTTCCTTGCTCAGTATCAGGAAAAAGCAACTCCCTTGTGATTGTGTACCATAATTAAATCTGTGACAGATTAGCTTAGAAGCTAATTCATTTAGAAACAATATGAAGAAAAGAAAATGACCCACAGACTTCAAAACGCTTTCAGCTTGATAAAGCCATAAAACAGACTAAGAAGAAGGAGCAC